GCCTAAGATCAGCCACGACCTGGGCAGGATCACTTAGCTGGTGGCTGGGAGGCAGTGTAGGGCTAGGTGAGGGGAGTGGGGCTAGTGCTGGGGGACTCTGTGGGTGGGGAGCTCTAAGAGGCGGGGAGCTGGCACTAGGGGGGTTTGGGGACTCTTGAGGTCAGTGACTGCCATTGGGGGGTGGTAGTGAAAGGGAGGGGAGTTTTGGGGGTTAGGGCTGGCACTGAGGGACTCTGGAGGCCGGGGCTTTTGGGAGACCGGTAACATTTTATTTGAATATTTGTATATTAATTATACAAATAATGAATAAGCAAATATGCAAAATTTACCAGTCTGCCAAAAGTTTATGAATAAGTTTGCTGGTCCATGGTATCAAAAAGGACGGGAACCACTTTCTTAGAACACCATCCCACCACTATGCATGCATGGCAGCCATCTTGTATCTGCCTAGTGCCACAACCCAGCATCCCAAACCCCTACTGATACCTAAAGAATTCTACAAACTATAGACGTCATCCTTCCCTCCTAGTGCCAGTGGTACCCAGTGCACAACAATAATGCACCACAGTTTAGGACAGGAACCAAAAAACATTTGCCAGTTGATGCTGCTACAAGAAGTCAGAACTCACCTAGGACTCTGTCCAGGCCGGCTTGTTTCAAACAGAGAACACCATGACTCTTAATGACCACAATGGCTCAGCTTTCATTTAGGGATGTGAATGGGTAACTGGTTAACTGTTACCTGATAAGCATCACCCAATAAGGCTAACCGGTTCCCTAAGAGCAGCCCCCCACCACAGCCTGCTGTTGGTGGAGGGCTGCTCCAACCCCACCAGGCCCTCAGGGACACACAGCTGGGAGCTTGTCCTGGCAGCCAGCTGGGGCTGGGAGTGAGAGCCTCACGAGCTGGAGTAGTTCTCCCCTCTCCAGGATCCCGCATTGATGGTTAACTGGTTAACATGTTAGATTAACCCAATATTTAATCAGTTACTTGATTAATCAGGATTTCACATCTCTAGTTTCATCCCAAGGTGGCCTGGTCTTTGCACTGAGTTGGAGCAAACAGTGCTCCCTAATGAATTACCAGCACCTCTTCCCCATAGTACACAGCTGAAATAAGAGGTTTCCTGTCCGAGTACCCAGCCCATACCTGCCTCACTTACAGAGTCTTAGAGGATCACAGAGCAGTGTGCTACAACTGCAGGCTGTAACAGAAATTGCACTTTATCCACAGAGCCTCATAAAGTTGGAATAAGAGCATCTATGGCATTCCGGGGCAGGCTAGGACAGATACCCCACAACTGGCCAATATTTATTGGAGAAAACACTACAAAATTTGCATTTCAGCATTTTTATGCTAATCCATATACAGATATAAGATCAAGAGCCTCTGGCAGATGAAAATGCCCACTATTGAGTTAAAGCAACACTCTCTTGAAGGTAATGAGATGTTTGCTGCCCTTTGATGAGAACAATACATTAAAAGAGCAATTAACAATGTAACTGTAGGTCCTAATCATTCCATGGTCCCTATTTATTACTTTTATAAGTTGATCAATATCCTTCAGGAGACCAATCTTTTCCCAATGCAGTCCGAGAGATCAATCAGTAAACAATATGCCCATCTGTCCATAATGCATCTGTCCATAATACACTTTGCACAGGGAGAAATGACTTTTCCAGCAACTGAGATCTCAAGAGGCCTATGGAAAAATGACCAAGTGAATTCCATTAACACTGTAAAAATAAAACGCTCTTAGTATCTGGCCCTCATTCCATACCAGTTTCTGCAATATATTTGTATGCCTTTATATCCTGTACACTTATTTGCTCAGGTGTGTGGAAATTAACATTAAACATCTGCATGTGGATGACTTTTCCAGCAACTGAGATCTCAAGAGGCCTATGGAAAAATGACCAAGTGAATTCCATTAACACTGTAAAAATAAAACGCTCTTAGTATCTGGCCCTCATTCCATACCAGTTTCTGCAATATATTTGTATGCCTTTATATCCTGTACACTTATTTGCTCAGGTGTGTGGAAATTAACATTAAACATCTGCATGTGGGCCAATCCTTTCTGTGTTCCTGATCTTCCACTGAGGTTGTGATGCAACTTACAGCAAACCTAGATAGCTTGCCCACTGCAATTTCTACTCTCTTGGCCTTGGGGCCTGCAAACACATAAGCACCGGCTTAATTTTATTCACGAGACATCCTATTGACTTCAGTGAATCTGCTAATCTGCTTCAAATTAAACATGCATGTTTACAGAATCCGGGTATGGGTATGCTAAACCTATGCCACAGATCTGTTTCAGCCACAACACCCAATCTCGAAAAACCAGCCTATACACAGGGATTCAGGCGTATGTCTCCAGGTTTTTAGCCTCTAACCATAAAACCCAAACCAAGTTATCCCATTCATTTGTCTGCACGTCGCTCCTGAGCCCCACAATCCTATCTGCCATTGCTCTTCAGTTCAGACAACAGCTGGAGTACAGGGACCAGGAAAATGAATAAATTCCAAGTGTAATGAGTAAGTCAATATTTACCCATAATATTGCCTTTTCCCTTGGCTAGGTTTTTCCACCTGTCTTGTCACATACTACTGCAAACAATGTGCCTCCTATATTAAATTATATCTGCATTCACAATTTCCTATGCAATAAGGATAAAAAGGCTGTTTTACTGACTACATGCACATGTCTCTCCCAGAGGTTTGGCTCTGTAGACAGTTTATGTCAAGGCTGTTTCGCACTCTGGTACTCAGAGTGCAGAAGGTCAGGACCCTCAAGAGACTTTAAAAGACCCTGCCATTAAAGGTTTCTGCTTAAAAAAGTCCCCAAGGTCACAGATACCCTGACTTTGGGTGGTATGCTGCCACTATCCAAATGCAAAAAAAACCCAAAAAAACTTAAAAGCAAGGAAGACACACCTGGGAATTTCTTTGGTTAAACCCCAAGCTTTTAAACACTTCTTCAGGATAGAGCTTGAAAACAAATGGTAATCTTTCAATAGCTGACCCTCCATCTCAGGCACAGGCACACAGAGTCCCCTGCCTTCTAGGACACTGGAATCAGATCAGAATCTTAAAATGATGATTTTATTAAAAAACAAAGAAGATGCATTTGGTAAAGATGGTTGCTAGGTTGCTAGACGTGATAAAGCAACTGAAAAAAGCAGATTAAAGCACAGAGAATTGCTTCCCTAGATTCAGGTTTAGTTACAGGG